GAATCAAGGAGAACGTGATGATCATTTTTCCTACGTGGCGATTTTTACGGTGCCGGTTAAGTAACCAACAAAATGTGTGGCATTTTCTCACTGGGTATCGATTCAAATTCAAAAGATTCACAGAAGTTGTAAAAGGAAAACGATGATTTCCTTTAATCTTTCTGATCTCTAATTAAACTCCAAGAACGCTAATTGTTCATCGATTCAAAGTTCTTCAAATTCTCTCCAATTCTCTATAATGGTTGCTGCTACTCGCAATGTTGATCCAACAACAACCAATGATGATGAAATCTCGCAACCTATGGTGAGGATTCAACACACTAATCTTCTTCTTGTTCCTACACTTGATCAATGCCCGTAGGAGTTAAGGATGTTGGTTCAAACATTGAACAACTCTGTTCTATCATATGCTCTTTCTTCATCGTTTGGAATTCTGATGGAATGGCTTTCTCTTGCTGCTTCAACTGTAGTGTTCAACAAAACTACCAAAGTGGTTACGTTCTAGCTCTCGAATTCAAAAACAAAGAAGCTCACTCGAAAGCAGTTTGCCCAAATTCTGAAATTACTCACTTCAGGTACTTTCTATGAAGTTACGAATGATCAAGTGATTCATATGCTCAACGAAATGGGACATCAACCTACCCTTACTACAATAAGCCACTTTAAGAAGTCAAGTCTTCCATGTGTATGGAGTTTCTTGTTTGGAATCTTCTAAGGTGCTTGACAGGAAGAAGCTCTAGGCTTGACAAGGCTAAGCTTGAAGTTTACTCATTCATGGAAGGATTGTACTATGGATTGAATGTTGATTATGCTTCAAATCTATGGGAAGAGTTTTGAACTTCAATCTCTCACACGAAGCTAGCAACTGGTGTGTTGAGTGCTCGATTTTGGGGATTAATTCATAAGGAGATATATGATGGGTTATGAGCATAACTACATCCTATGTGCTCATGCAACCCTAATTGCTTTGGATCTAAGTTTTTCACTAGTTGAACATGTAATTGAATACCAAAGCAATAAACCCTAGATCTAGCATACAATTTTAGAAAATCATATAACAAAAGGGTTTTGATGATTAGCTTGCTTGTTATGTAGTAATAGTAAGAACTCCTTGTAGATCCTTGACTCTTGAAAGCTTAGTGCCTCAAATGTTGCACCTCTAATGGCTCACAAACACCACTAGAAAAAGGATGAGAGGAGAGAGGATGGAAGCACTTAGAATTTCGGCTAGGGTTCTCTGGATGCAAGCATTGGCCAAAAATCCTAAGCCTAGGGGTTCCTTATATAGCTGGGGGCTGCTAGGGTTTTTGGAGGAAACCCTAATTTCCTGCTTAAGGCTTAAGCAACCCATGGACCTCCCACTAAGAAGCCTTGGACGAAATATATAGGGCCTCCCTATAGATTTTGATCCACTTCTAATTAAGGAGTCCATCAGCTCAGTTTCACAACTATCAATGATTTGCAAAACAATCTCTGTTCTTTTTAATCAGTTCCTTTAATCCCAAAATTAATTCCAAATTAATTTATGATTAAATACTAATTAAATAACATGATTTCTAATTAATATATTATTTTCATAATACATTAATAAATTAATTTATTATTCCAAATAATAAATTCAACCTCTCTCTCTCCAAAAGTCATCCTGTTAAGTTGCTAAGGTGAAGGCAACCCAAAAGGACCATGCTACTATCAAATCAAGTACATACCAATTATAGTTATGGGCTTAGACACCTAATCTAACAATATACACTTAGGAGGATATTATGTTTCCATCAAGTGTAGATACTGCAAAATTTCCGACAATGGCTGCTCCAAGAGTTTCTGTGGATGATGTTAATGTTTTTCCCTATGTTGCTCGCATTCCAGATTCGATGCTCAAACTTGTGGATCCCAAAAATTTGTTGTTGGTACAATACTTGGCCTCTACTGATTTTTCTAATCCAACTGGGGTTCTTCCACAAAAGGGGCTAGAAGGAACATCTAAAGGCTCGAAGGCTCCAAATAAGAAGAAACAAGTCTAAAAGAAACAAGTAGTGGAGGAGGAGATTGTTAAAGAAACCATTCCCATTAAAACTGGGGTTCTTAAGCGAACGAAGAAACCAACAAAAAAGCCTTCTGAATCTCCAATCAAGAAAACTATTCAAGAACCTGTAGTCGAAAGCATTGATCCCACTGAAGTCGAAACCTCAAATCCTGTTTCTTCCAAGGGTCGTCCAAAGAGGGTTAAAAATATACAAGTTACCAGGAAGGGAGTTCTTTTTCGAGAAGTTTCAGTTCCTGGATCTCCGGCATTGAAGAAGCGTAGAGCTTTGGATGTTGCACAACAGATAAATAAGTGAAAACATGATCAAGTTCGTGTTCCACTTGAAAATGTGCATGTTGAGACCGAGCATGGTAGTGAAAGCGACAGGTCAGATATTAGAATCGAAGATTCGTATATTGGTTCACCACGAAAGAATACCCTCGTCAAATCAAATTTCGAGGAGACAAGTATTCCCGATGTCACTGTAAACGTATCTAATACGGATACAAACATCAATTCGGGTGATCAATCACAAAACAACATCCCTGAGAAGACTTTGGTCATACCATCCGGGGTTTCGAATACCGAGTCCCGTGGGGAGGAGGTCAAAATTCCAGACATCACTTTGTACTTATCTAATAAGGACACAAATGTCAACATGGATGATGGGATACTTCATGTCGAATATTATGTGGCAACTTCAACAACTTTACCACCACCTTCATCACCCATTCCTACTTCTATTCTTGTTTCGACTATATCACCAACATTCGTTGGTTTCATGTAAGAACCTATCACCACTCTCTTCGCATCTTAATCCACTGAAAAGTCACAACCAAAAAACGAAGCTGATGATGACGATGTCATGGTTTCGTTTGATGATCTTCAATTCAACCCTGAAGAAGAAAATATTCCTGATTGACTTATTATGTCAGGTAAGGAATTCAAGATCCTCAACTCAAAACTCAATTCTCTTCTTCAAATTGCAGCAGATACTGAAGGAAAGAACTATGTGACCGGAGTCAAAATGGAATACTTGATGAAAGCTCAAGAATCTCGTTTGTGAAACTTGATTGAGGGAATTGAGCAGAAACAAGTAGAAAGACTAGCTATTCATTCTAGAAGCAATGATTATGACATTCAGAAGCTTCGTGATGCTGCTAAGGCACGTCATGAACTTTTCATGGGAGAAGGTCAATGAAATGAAGGAGCCTCTTGTTGTCAAGGCAGCTGAGATAAAATCATTGATGTCTGAAGAAGTCAAAAAAATGGTAGAAAATTACAAAGAGTTTCATGAGAAAGGTGATGTTCTTGCTGGTGCAATTACTCGATTGGTTGATTTCAACACTGAGTACACGAAACAGTTTGAAGCCAAGTCAGAGAAGGATGCAAAGGTGTTTGAAAAGATGGAGGAATTCCTGTATGGTATTAATGAAACTTTGTCAAAGGTTGATCTTTCGAATCAATCAACCATCTCTCAAGAATCTCTCTCACAAATGGTTTTGAACATCGAGTCGAACATTAAAATTGAGCTCGCTCCAATACTTGATTTGGTACTTCGTTTACCAACCAATTCTCCACGTGCTGCGCAAGTATCGCAAGGGGGAGAAAGAGGAGTTGGAGGAGCTGGATCTTCAAAAGATTCTTATAATGACAAAGGAGTAGTTGTTGGGAAAGTAATTTCGAATCAAATTTCAAGTTCAATTCCCATGAAGCCTATAATCGTGTCTTCAACTACAACAACCTCTACAACAACAAATATGCCAAAATATCCATCAAAATGCATTTAGATTAAGGAGGAGAAGGAGGTTAAGTCATGATATTGTCAAAACAAATTCATCGATTGATCCAAAAGACAAAGTCAAAGTCATTCTTATTGAAAAATCGGATGAGGAAAAGAAGAAGCAACAAGCAGTTGAATTGGAACGACAAAGGCAAATCAATAGCATTCTTAGTCAAAGGGAGAATGATCCACCAGGCCTGAACAATGGTGACCCGAACAAGCACTGGTGTTATGAAACGATTGAAATCGCAATGTTGGGGAAGAATGACGAATTTCTTAAAAGGCCGAAGAAAAGCTTTGAAACTGAAAATTCGGACTTCAGTCAACTCGATTTTCCTGTCAATCACATGTTGTTCACATCTCCACAGTTCAAAGTACCAGATAACTTCAAAGATAAAAACGAATATAGAAACCCGAAGATTCGTTTTTATGCCATCTTGGGGTCGAATGTCTATAGTGAGGAGTCGAATGTACTTTGTGTTTGTATAGTGTCAAAAGTAGTATGGTTTCGACACTCTATCTATTAATAAGGCATGCTAGTTTCGACACTGTAATATTTAGTCCTTGTTATTTTTTGTGCGGCTGTTGTATCCTATAAATAGGGTAAGTACATAGAGTAGAGTAACGATCGAACTAAGGGTGATTCTCATTTTGTACTCTCAAACACTCTTGTACTCTTCAAACAATATTGAGCATATTTAGATCATGTGTCCATTTACAGTTTTTATTGTCATAATCGTGTTGTTAATCAATCACAAACTCACTTCATTTTTTCACGGTTAACATATTTAATCAAGAAATTTTCCTATATATGAAAAAGAATATGTGTATGAAAAAATATGTGCATAATTGTACATTTGCTTAGGCTAGAGGTTGTGTTGATATTTTTGCTAATGATAAAACAGTTGCTTCATAGGCGTCACATCAGGTTTTACATTTTTTTATAAATTTTACCTATGAACTAGGGTGTGATGATGGTTTTACCTATAATTTTTTTTAATCTCAATAAAAAGTAAGAAATTTTTTAATAAAAAAACATACTAAAATTAAAAATAACATGAAATTAAAAATTACATTTTAGAAATCCAAAAAATAAAAATAACATGAAATTAAAAATTAAATTTTCGAAATCCTAAAAAATAAAAATAACATGAAATTAAAAATTACATTAAAAAATATAACATTGAAATTTCATTTGCATTTTAGATTATACTTTTCTTGAATCGACTCCTTCACCGCTTTAGCCGCCTCCTGATCTTCGGGGTCGAGGCGTCTCACGTCTTGCATTAACAATGAATATTCTGTGAGGCGGACGGTTTCAGTCATATGCTTCTCCAAAGTTGTATTCCATTGTGTCATTTGTGCCATCATTTCTACCGATCTAGTTGACCTCTCGGTTCCGACCGACGAATTTAAAGATGTCGTTTTTCCTTTACCTTTTGCTCGATCTTTTTCTTTGTCCCCTCCCATGGGATGAGGAGGCGGACGTATTTCTTCGATTTCGTCGTTGTCATCATTAAGATCAATGCCTATGTGACCATCCGATGTCATTTGTTGTGAGCTCGAACATGAAGATGTTCTGCTTCTTTTTAGTGGATTAGCAATGTCTTCATGTGTTGCAAGTTCCTTCCACCTAATACTTCTTTTGACAACTTCTCACACATGAATGAACTTAAAAGACTTTAGCATGTCATCTTGGAATGTCGCATGCGTTTTTTCAACAAACTCGCCTCACTTTCTCCGCTAGCCTATTGCTTTTCAAAGTTTGTGTAAATTCCATTCCAATACATCATGAATTTGTTTACATGATTCCATTTTGAGTCACATTGGTCAGACGTTCGGTAATATGGATCTCGACCAATACCCTTACAAAACCGCTCCGTAAAACGTAACCAAATTGATCACATGATTGGCCTTTCCCGTGTTACTATCTTCGGATATGTCGAACCATGCATTTACTAATTCTGTCTCTTCTTTTTTTTACTCCATCTTCTCGGATCGGCCTTCCTTTTTTTTTTTGTTGAAGTTGTTCTTCGGGTTCGGAAACAGAAAGATTTCGGTTAAGGTTGTGAAAAGCAGTTGGAATTGAAATTAGAATTAGGTTTGTGTTTGGGTTTGGGATGTTGTTCGGGGTGGTGGAGATTGGAATTGGAATTGTTGTCAAATTTGGAATTGTGAATAATAGCTAGGAAACCACATACAAACACTTGGTTTTGAGATAAACTTGATGGATCCATTTGTGGCTGGTAAGGTGGTGTTGATGCATGATCGTAACCGAAGAGTGCAAATGGGTTGAAAGCATTTTGGTTGGAAGAGTTGATATTATTGGAAGACATTTTGACTGTGTGTGTGAATTAAAATGAATGGTATATATATATAGATATATATATATATAATATATATATATAATAATATATATATATATATATATATAAGAAAAAGATGAAACTACAAAAAAATGGTCCCTGCGGTATGCATTTTTTCCGAAGTTCAGTCCAAACCTCGACTTTTTTTTGGCTTCGTAGTCCTTTTGAGCTAGTTTCGTTGCAAATTTGTTCCCTCAACAAACTAAAATGCTTGTAGTACCCTTGGGGTATTTATTTTCTATTTTTCTTTCATATTTTAAAATCTACTATTTATTATTTAAACAATTAAAAAAAAGGGGCCATATATATATATATATATATATATATATATATATATATATATATATATATATATATATATATAGGGAAATGATCAAATGAGAACACCTAAAAGGTTGAGAACGCGAGAACAGTTCTGGACCAATCAATATATAAGGTCATATTAGTAATTGTATATTTAAATTAAATTAAAATAAAATAAAATCAATCAAATTCCCTTAAATTTAGGATCAGTTACCAAAAAAGAAGGAAATATTGATTTTTATTTTCTTATTAATGAAATATAAAAAACATTTTTATCAAAAAAAAAAATTTAAACTAAAAAAATTTAATTTTTTTTTCTTAAAAAATAATTTTTTTCTCCTATTTAACGTTTTTTTTTTCGAAAAAATTAATAGAAATCCAACCCCAAATCAATACATTTGTACTCATAAACGATTTTGTTTTCAAAAAAACTAATACTACTACCATCACAAATGAATACATATCAATTTACAAGTAATCCACCTCTCTTTTAATCAACCGAAAATAAAAGGGGTGTAAAAATTATCATTTCTTCATAAAAGAATACCTTTAATAATAAATAAATACACTTATTCACACATGATTACACTGCTATTTACAAATGAATACATGATTAACAAATGAATACCCTGGTATTCACAAATGAATAAAAGAATACATCTAATCATAAATAAATACTCTCATTCACACATGATTACACTGCTATTTACAAATGAATACATTGTTATTAACAAATGAATACCCTGCTATTCACAAATGAATACCTCTCTCACGCATTTCATCAAACAACCCAATCGTCCCAGATACAAAGCCAATGAACCCAATGTCAAATACGCCCTCCACAACCAAATCAACAACCCACTGTTCTTCGTTTACATAAGTCGATTTTGACTTTTATGGTTTTGACTATGTAGAATAATCTCAACCATTCCGACTCAGCTTTATCACAGATTGCGAATTAACCGGTGTCTTAAGCCCCGAATGTAAAACCCATTTAGTGATTGCGAACCAGTCATCAAATTAATTTCGATCAAAATCAGAATCACTATAAACAACCAAGAATTCGATAATCCCAGCAAAGCGATTCAGTCTTCACATCCGATTGGTTCGTCCGTTCATCACCAGACTTCGAGATTAACATTCAATCAAACACCAAATCGATTATTCAAAGATCGATTTCACTCACAGATCATCATAAATTTTCATGTTCGAGACGAATTAAATTAATAATCATGAAGTCAAATTGACTATAAGAACAGGAACGAGAAAATTGATGAAAAAAATATGATCTTGGATTAAAATTAACAAAAATCGATTCATGAGAATTGATATACACACGATGAAGTCCATTAACCTCAAAAAAATCATCGATTGTAGATTTAGAATAGGAGAATTGATATACACCCATGTGCGTTCGATTTATTCCCTCTGTATCTCGATTTCCTTCAACCAAATTACATCAAATTGTGTTTCATGCTTCGAATCCACTCCCGTCTCCTCGTCTCAGATCCTCGTCTCTTCTGAGACGCCTCAATGGTCGGGGAAGTCGACGTCGCTGCACCATCTTCGGCGAAGCTTGCGTTGTCGGGGCTAGGGCAGCAGAAGGAGGTGGCGGCGTTGCAGATTGGTGAGAGGTAAATGGATTGTTGAAGATCGAAGACGAAGGAGAAATGGGGTGCTTTCTGGATGAGTAGAGAAACAAAGCGACTCCATCAATAGTCTTTATCTTCACACAGCCTTGCAGGTCCGATTAGGGCTACAAAAATCGTTTGATAGGGGAACGAATAGGGAAACGGCATTCTTTAATGGAAATAAGAATGGTAATGAGAAATTATAGATTGACCTAAGTTTCAATTACTGGTTATACCCTTATGCCATTTTAAAAGTTACACTTTACTACCGATAGTTTTAGAATCAACATAAATTACCCGTTTGATAATAGGCTTAGATTTGAATATTTAAGTGGCCCAGATGTTTTCGCGTTCTCAACCTTTTTGGTGTTCTCAACTGATCCTACTCCTATTATAATATTATATATAATATATATATAATATATATATATATATATATATAATATATTATATATATAATATATATATATATATATATGGGTTTGTCTTTCAAGAACTCAAGAAAATCTGATGAACACAAATACACAGTCAAGAACATACATATCTTCATTAACATATACACACATGAGATTTTCTGGGTTTTCTTGAAAAAACCTACACTCTCAGATTTTTTGGACTTCTTCAAAACACACATACACTTGTGAACATAGATACTCAAGAAAAAACACACATTAAATTTTCTAAAAATACACACACACACACTTATGAACATACATACTCAAGAACAACACACATCATGGGGGTTTTCCATATTTGTGCTAGGACTTTTTCGACTGCCACCACTGTCCGCCGCCACCACCTGTAACCACTTTCATCTCCACCGAGAAATCATCGGACCACACCTGGTTCGAGGGTTTTAAATCGAAATAGTTTTCCAGATTTGCATTAGGGTTAGTGTTATTCAGACATGTAGGAAGAAGCCCTTAATTTTGTTTGTTGGATTTCCTGCATACATGTTGGAAGAAGCACAAGATAATTTTGTAAGTATGATTTTTTTGGGGGTAACAATTTCAGAAGAAGGGGAACATCCATCCCCTGTTCTTCGATTTCCTGTAGGGTAAAACACACAACATCATACACACATTTGTTTGTGGAGTTCTTGATAAAAAACAATCCCCAAAATGTTTTAGGGGCGTCGTTTTCTCTCACGCTTACAAAATATGAGAAAGTCGACGAGATTCTGGTGGCAAATTCAGAATAAACGAACGATCTCTATGCTTGGTTCCAAGTTTATAATCGGTTCCAAAATTATGGTAACTTAGAGCTTGTTCTTCTTGGGTTGTTTGTTTTTCCGGTGACCAGATTTCCCTTCCAGATGGCTTTCATTTTGCATCAAATCTAAACCTATAAACAATGATACACATACACTTCTAATTAAAACCCAAAAAATCAATTATTTTCATGATTTCTGGCAAACAATTGGGTTTGATTATGAGTTTTAAGGTTTTGGGAGGATGGATAAAGAAGATGAAGATGGTGATTGTACTCTTTGGAGAGAGAGAGAGAGAGAGAGAGAAGAGAGAGAGAGAGAGAGAGAGAGAGAGAGAGAAGAGAGAGAGAGAGAGAGAGAGAGAGAGAGAGGAGAGAGAGAGAGAACTCTCTTATTTTTTAATTGTTTATATAAATAAATAAGTATTAGATTTAAAAAATGAAAGAAAAAATAGAAAATAAATACCCTAAGGGTATTACAGTCATTTTAGTTTACTGAGGGACCAAATCCACAAGGAAACTAGCTCAAAATGACCAAGAATCCAAAAAAATCGAGGTTTCCAAACCTCGGAAAAAATGTATACCATAGGGACCATTTTTGCAGTTTTGTCAAAGAAAAAAGGAAAATGCAAAGAGTCGTTTGCCAACGTCCAAAACTGCCCCCAACGGTCACAAACGTTTTTTTTTTTTTTTTTTTCCGAATTTCACCACTGATGGAAAGCTACCGTCGGTATTATACCGGCGGTGAATATAGGGCTCCGGCACGGTGTCAGCGCCGGTAAACACTCCATGTCACCATACCGCTAGTGATTCCTATATGACACCGGCCTTAGACATTTGTTTTGTTTGGTATTAAACCAATAAATTATAATATATTTTTAAATCCCAAACTTAGAGAAGATGGTTAACAAGATAAATTCAAATTTCTGACTTGGCTCGATATCCAAATATTTTAAATCCAATTATTTTATAATCTATTCGTGAAGCCACATGGCTAACTCTAATAGCCAAACAAAACCAATGGATGTATCTCTCCCTTAGCTTCGAAACCGTCTTGACTCGTGCGTGACTAGGTGCGAATGTGCGATGCATATCACAAAATTATAAAAAGGAAAAAGGGAGTCACAAATGAGGCATTGGTTATATTTATTATCAAATATAAATACACTTGAAACTAACACCAATCCAAGAGATAAAGATAGATGATTACAGTTAAACCAACTCCTTTTTTCATCTATTATGTTATGCATATGATAAAAGAAGCAAAACAAGACTTTACATGAAACAGAAAATGATGTTCATTTCGAGTAATTAGTACTACAAACAAATCCACATATGGAGGTTCATGGAGACGTGATGGATCGATTGTGTATTCTGCTTGATCGCCTCACTGGGGACAGCATCACCTCCGGTTTTTTGCTTTTCTGTTCAAATACCAAACATGTTGATTAGAATCTATGAACATAATCAAATATTAAATTAAATATAAAAGTATTCACCTTTTTCTTAACAATCTTCTTCTCAACTGTAAAGCTTCCATAAGAAGGTGAATCGGTAGAGAATTCCATGTAAGAGGATTTTGCCTCACTGGAAGAAACTGCATCAGAGTCGATTAAAGATCCAACATGTGTTGTCTTGTACTTTACAAAAGACGAAATTTCCGACTTCTTTGAATAATATATGATACTCAACGTTGCCAGAAGAATGAGTACACAAACCCCAATGAAAGCTGCAAAATAAAGATCAAATCTTAACAATTTTATCAAAATATTTTCATCCACGCCATTGTTGTTACTGTTACCATCTTCTTTTCCAACATCCTCCTCTACCATCATTTCTAAAACTTCTGATTCTACACTCGTTTCACCTCGATCAAAACCACTGTAAATTTCTTCACTTGTTACTTCATAAGAAATATCCTCTTTCTTTTCAATGGAATCTTGAAACTGCCCAGTGTCGTTTTTGCTCCATATATTTTCATCATGATATTCGTCAATCATACAGTTTTGTTTTATCTCTTCCATTTCTTCAGTTTTGTATGCTTCCAACTGGTTCGAGTGCATGTTATCATCATCACCAACATCTTTTTTCCATATATCATCATGTTTGACATTAACATCAACATCAACCTCTCTCTTACTCAATTTTCCCACTTCTGAAAAGTCAAAACCAACAGTCCTTCTGAAGACGCTACAGTAGTCAAGATTCATAAAACCCCGTATGGCTTCTCTAGCAGGTGAAAGGTTTGGGGAGTTCATACAAATTATGGCAACGGTAGTTAAGATCAAAACAATTATCACAATCAAGTATTGAACAAAAACCTTCGAATTCCATCCACTACCCTCCTCAAAGTCATCAAATACTCCTTCCTTTTCTTCTTCTTCTTCATGTTCATGTTCAGGGGCAATTATGCCAGTTTCTTCTTCAACAGACTCTTCTCGAGAAGAAAAACTCGACTCCAACTTTTCTTTGGGAAAACGCATTCCCGTATCATCATAAGAGGCACTTCTTCTAACCCTAGTTACATTTTTTTGACGAGCAGATATTTCACGATGCCTATCTGGGTTGAACTTCAAGTACCTAGACCTTGGGGAAAGATAATTCTTGATGGGGTCATAAGGCTTCAATGGTGTCTGCATATCATCATGGGGATCAACGCCCATTCTTGAATCCTTGGAATCGAAACTAAACGATCTTGGTAAACAGCGTTGTCTTTCGACATCTAGGGTTTGGATTTTGTTTCTTTCCGTCATTTTTTCCATTTTCGGAACATGATTTTTAGAAGCTGATGATGTCGTGGTAGTCATAAAATGTTTAATGGCCAATCGTTTCTGATGGGCCATTTTCAACTTGAATTCCATTTCTGCACTTAATTTCTTCACATCGTTTCCTTTAAGAACATGAAGATTCCAGTGAATTTAATAACCAGTAACAACATAACAAACATCAAAATCCCAAAACATCAACATCAAGTTGATTGTGTGATGAACTCAATTGATCGGAGAAAAAAGATAGAAAAAAAAAAAAAAAAAAAAAACTGAAAGTGTTGGATCAAATAGAGTACCTTGGAAGAGAGAATTGGGTTCGATTGATGTTGATGAAGTGTGATACTTGCCGAAATCATGCATATTTCTTCAGTGATGTTACTTTCCTTAGAGATGGCAACGTAATCAAGAATGGAATCAATTACCAGATTTGGAGGGAAAGAGGGAGATTGAAATGCGACCGTTACTATATTTGGAGGATTTATAGATCTTCTAAATTGAGATTTTAGCCTAAAAAATATGAGCCCATGGGCCATAATTCTAAAAGGACTAGTCAGTTATATATTTTTATTATTTATTTGCTAAAATTATCAAACATTTATATTTATTTATATGAAAGTTTTTTTTTTTTTTTTTTTTTTTTTTTTTTTTTTTTTTTTTTTTTTTGCAACATGTCACGCTCTCATTCAAATTTTCAAATATCATTTTACAGTTATTTTGAATTAATTTCTTTTCTACATGTCATTTTATGGTTTTTTCTATTTTAATAAATTTCACATAATACTTTAATTAATAATTACACTATTTTAATAAATGAATGTTTTTTTTTGCCAAATGTCACACTCTCATTCAATTTGCCAAATGTCATTTTATGGTTATTTTGAATTAATTTCTTTTCCACATGTCATTTTATGGGTTTTTCTATTTTAATAAATTTCACATAATACTTTAATTAATAATTACAATAAATCTACTCTAAAAAATGAAGGTTTTTTTTTCCACATGTCACACTCTCATTAAATTTGTCAGATATCATTTTCTGGTTATTTTGAATTAATTTATTTTCCACATGTCATTTTATGTGTTTTTTTATTTTAATAAATTTCACATAATATTTTAAATAATAATTACAATAAATATAGTAATAAATGAATATCAATTTCATTAATGGACTTATCTTTTTATTTTAAAATTCCCAAGTTAAAGCTTATTAGTTTATTTTGTTTATTTATTTAAATTTAAAAGATAAAAAAATCAATTTTAATAATTCATTATTTTTTTTATTTTTTTATAAATCCAAAGTTCTTAAAGATTTAGACCATTATATTTAATATTTTTAATTAACTCATATAGTATATGAGTCTTACACCTAGTTAGTTACTAAAAGCAGAAAGGGAGCATACAAATTACATGTCAATGTATCATGGACATGAACTAACGTTGAAACCATAAAAATTATGAAGATAATACATTTTAATTTTTTTTTGGATATAAGTTATTGATGTTTCATTTTTTTCCCTAATAAGTATGTATATATTGGATTTTTTCGAATTAAATTTAAACTTTTTTTTTTTCCAAAAAAACTTACAATTTTCCATTTTTGTATTTGACCAATTTTGCTGGTTTACCGTTGGTCTTCGCCTGCTACAATCTCCGACCATTACGTATATATATTTTGATATGTATTTTATTAACAAGAACCGACCATGCAAATTATTATATTTTGTCAACAAGAAACCTGTAAATAAATTTTGATATGCATTTTGTCAACAAAAATCGAACACGCAGACAACTATGCATTTTCTCAAAAAAATTGGATATACGAAGTATTATGCATTTTGTCAAGCAGTCTAAGATACAAATCCAATTTAGATCGTTGTTCTTCATATTTTACAATCTTTGCACATATTGTAAATAGATTTTGATATATATTTTGCCAACAATAATTGGACACAACATCCTTTCTATTTGTTTTGAAAAATATCAAATGTCTCATTCAGATTTTAATGTTGGAAACTTTCAAAAATACCATAAACAACAACATAAAAACTAGAGGAATTATGAGCCAAAACAACGAAGTTGGTCAAATTGTGAATGTTTTTTGTGAGAAAAAAATGAAGTTTTTTTCAAAAAAATATGTGTAAAACCGAAAGATTATCGGTAAACCTACAAAAAAATGGTCAAATTAAAAAATATGGAAAAATATAAGGGCTTTTTAGGGAAAAAAAACAAAGTCGAGATTTAATTCGAAAAACCTAATATATAGGGTCTTTTATGTAATTAATCAACAAATTTAAAATCAAACATTAGTAAATTAGATTTAAATCCCTTTATATCACACTTGAAGTCGTCTTTATAGTACACATACTTTAGAAAAACATTGCTAAAGCCATCACTATTTATAATAGAATTATAGAAATTATAGCATACATAAAGAAACAATACATATAAAAATAGAATTTAATGTAATGTAATGGAGTTGTGAATGCCCCAAGTTACCTTTAAACGTTTGTCATCGTACCCATTCTTTAGTGGTTTTCAATATTGGTTTTAAATATAGAGCATGTTTGCATTCTATCACTAAGCTATCAACCCAAACAAAGACTCCACACCATAAGCTAATGTTTATTTATATGAGAATCAACACATAATGAGAGAATTCAAATCTTCCATTGATTAACCATCTATGCTTTACATAAAACTAAAATATATATAGCTTACACTCAAGCTAACAACCTGAAGCTATCAAACATATCAAAAATAAAATGTAACTAACTGTACATTAAATTATAGAAATACCCTTGTCACTAACAAATTTAATTGAGTGAAGTAAAATGACCCCCCCTCAAGCCGGTGGATACGAAAGAAGCCCAACGTTGGATGTGGATAATTGACGTTGTGGACCATACAATGGTTGGGTAAAAACATCAACCAACTGCTCTTGAGTCTTCACATGAAACAAAGATATTTGACTAGCTTGTAATATTTCCCTCACAAAATGACAATCCAATTCTATATGCTCTGTGTTTTCATGATAGTCATGATTAGTAGTAATGTAGAAGGCAACTTGCATATCACACTTCAAGGGTATGGGGTAATATTGTCAACTAGTAACTCATTAAGTAATCGACTAAGCCATGCCAATTTTGCACAAATTCGTCTCATTGACCTGTATTCAGCCTCAACAGAGGATAATGAAACAATTATTTGCTTCTTATATTTCCAAGATATTGGAGAATCACCAAACAATATGAAAAACCCACTCACACTTCTTTTAGTGATTGGGCAAACGCCCAATTAGAATCACAGAATGCTTCAACTATAAAATTGTAATTATTGTTAAAGACTATACCTTGTGAAATAGACCCTTCGAGATACAATAGAACATGAAGTGCAACTTCATAATGGGCTTTGCAAGGTGTTTGATTAAACCAACTAAAGTATTGAATCTAATATGGAAGATCAGGTCTTGTGTGTAACAAAAAATTAAATTTTCCAATAAGTTGTCGATACATTGCTGGGCCAGGTAAAATATCATCCATAACTAGCAATAAATGTGTTTTTGGTGGCACAGGAATGTTGGAAATAGGTTGATGTTCCATGGAATATGAAGACAAAAATTCTTTGACGTACTTGTGCTGATGAACAATCATTCCTTGATCAATTTTGTTGAATTCCAAACCCAAAAAATAATGAATGTGACCCAAATCTTTGATTTAAACTTGTTGATGAAGTGAAGCTTTAAGAGACAGTATCTCCTCATCGTCATCTCCTGTAACCAATATGTCATCAACATATATGGCTATAATAACAATTATATTAAAGGCCTTTTTTAGAAACAAAGAATAATCATTTGTTGACCTTGTGTATCCTTTCAAAATTAATGCAGAAGAAAGCTTATCATACCACTGTCTTGATGCTTGTTTCAATCTATATAAGGATTTTTTAAGTTTGCAAACTCTTGAAGAAGCGGAATCTAGAGGTGTTGGGTCACTCAATTGTATATATTTGATGATGCGAAATATATAAACTAGTTATAGTTAGTTAGTTAATCTGAAGATATGTTGACGGAAGTTCATATGTCGAATACTGAAGAACATCCCCTGATAATTGAAAGACCCTGAAGAATCTATCAGCACCAAAGGCATGAAGACACCATCTACTGAAGACTGATCAGTGTGTCCAGACGCTGATGGTTATACATTGATGACATATTGATAAGATGATACGCTGATGATACTCACTGATGGTCATTCACTATTTGTTGAAGATGAAGCTGATCAGCTTGACCCTGACGCTGATGACTGAAGCTGTAGCTGATCTCCAAACGCTAAAGCTAATGCTCTGATCAGCTTCTGATGTGCTAGTGCTGATATCCGAATCTGGAGAAGATCTGATCTAATCCATTCCTTATTTACATGTTTAGTTTATATTTAGATTAGATACAATCACTTGATTAAAGGGATTCACTAGATTAGATTAATATATATACAACATTAGGGTTAACCCTAATGTTGAGCGTCTTGTAGAACGGCTTGGTGTCATAATCATCTTTGTGACAACCCGTTTTCTTCGTGAAAACAAACTATTTATTGGTGAAAGAAACAATTTGGAGAATCACTTGTGTTCTTCACTTTTTCTGTTCTTCATTGTTCTTTGTTGTACTTTCTTGTTTATATTTGATCTTCGAATATACAAAGGATTTGGGATTTTCAATTGGTATCAAAGCAAGCTATAACATTTTTTCTAGGATCTGTTGAAGATTCAGAAGTTCATTCCCATTCAGAAACTCAAAAATCAGAAAAAGGAGAAGAAGAATATATCTTTTAAATTTATCCAAATATGAAGAATACATCAGACATTCAGAAGAGAGAGTATGGTGCATTTTGTTATATTTGGTATTATTTAAATGTATCAGGTATGTTTGGTCCATATAATGTTTCTCAGATGAGAAAAGAACTTCTAAGTGAAAGGATCAACAAAGATACAAATGTTCTTGATGAAGAAGAATACAAGGAAAGTTCAAAAAATAAAAGGACAGTTGATGTAAGTCCTTTATCATGTTTTCCTAATCTGATGTATGATCCAAAGGCACCTCTATCTTTGTTCTTCATTTTTGAGTTTGATCTGAAAGACAAAATCATCAATCAGAATCAAGAAGATATTGAATTATTGAAGAAGGAACTGAATGAAAGGAAGAAACAAATATCATATCTGAAGGAGAAGATTAAAGAAAATGGTGTGAAGAAGAAAAAAGTATCTTCAAGAAACTCTAGTTTTCATCCAGATGAATATCACAGTAGCTTTTGCACTGACAAGTCTCACGCTGATAAGCCTTATGCTGAGGAAGTTCGCACTACCAA